TTATGCCTCGTGTTTAAGTAAAATCATGAAGGAGTTCTTCATTAACTCCATTCATGAAACTGAAAATTATAAATTTCTAACCTATTCGAATGGGTGAATAAAATAAAACCATTAAGTGTATTGTCGATTTTGGTCTTTTGGGCTGTAACGCCGTGTGGTCTAGTAGGTAGGTACCAGCGTTCAGATGAACGTGCTGTCTCTTTCTTCAGCCCTTAAGATGGAGGCAGTACGTACGACCCATAAGACCAACACAGGCATTTTCACTGTCGTGAGATACTCGAAACCCCATATTTAGAACTGCCGTTCTTGCTGACTTTCCCATTAGGTTTTGATGAAGTATAGAAAATGGAAAATTATAAATTCTCAGCAACTGTTTGGAGTAACCATAATAAAATAGTCAATTGGGGTTCTTGGTTTACCTCTGTCCTGAAAATGTACTGGAAATCCATTTTATACACTCGCTTTGATTGCGGGATGTGTGAAAAGGAAATTCCGTAGTAAACCCTCTTGGGAAACGGGGAGTCTGAGTGGTATCGTCTGTGAAGGGTGGGACGTGGCAAGATATTGCTAGCTTCCACTCCATTCATATCTAAGAAATCCTCCTTGATTTCCTAACCAAACATCCGTGACTCGTTCTGGCCGATAGTAAACATTTCGGAAGCAGCAGTAACTACTTCTTCCTCGCCTTTCTTGAGTTGTGGCGCCCAACCCAGACCCAACCCAGTAAGCTGGCAGGCAGGAAGAAGGCAAAGGTTGGTCCCGAGGTCGCACGACTCCTTTGGACAGGTGAGGCAGTCTCTAGGGAGCAGGTGGGTTGGACTGAACACAAAACACCTCATCAAGTGGCAAGCAGGCAGGCCACAAGTGCGATTCGTTGACTTGGCCCTCACATTAGGACGTATCTTCGCCCTCTTTGCATTTCAGCTGGCCCACAACATTACATTTTACTGACAAATTACTGTGATTATAGCAATGTTGTTCCTTATCAGTGTATACCCGTTAGAGCGCCAATTTGTTCACTGAGAGTATTGGCGTTAAAGTGGGGTTTGCTGTAATTTGATACTTGCCTATGCCCCATGGCATTGCTTTAAAGTGGCCCTGGATGCATCACACAGAACAAAAATTACTTCAGCTGTTCTGCAAGACTAAGGCGTTTAATCTTAAAAAATATTGAAAGATCAGTTTTGAGTCTGAAGTGGAATAATGCTCAAACGTAGAATCCTAAATAAGCAGATGGTTATGATGATGATGATGATGAGTGGAGTAGTTTTGTGCTATTGAGATAATATGAGGTTAAACACTGCTTTCACTATTTATGTAACAGTACTTTCTGTATATTCTGTCGAGAATCAGTGGAAGGACAGTATGTCGACGACAGTAGTTTTGTCAGACACGGTTTGCTATTTGGGAAACAGATTAGAGTAACAACTGTTGACAAAATTGCGAACGAAAATACCTTACCGAGACATGAAATACCAAATTACGATTGTCATATTGAAGTTAGTTACTCAAACACTGCCCAAATTTGAGTTTCATCTGTAGATTTTTGATGTCTTGTCCCAAAGAACAGATTGTTTGTCGTTTAACGTATGGTGACAGAATGTTAGTGAGGAATCAGTCGAGTTGGGCGCACTGCAGGATACAAGGACTTTAGTGAATTTCCCATAGCATTTTGGTTTGTTTTTATCCTATCTTCTTTACCGGGCATTATACAAAAACAAACATGACCAGTGCATTCCGTAATGCCAAAGAGAAGGTTCTGATAAATGAGGTTAATAAATACTTAATTGATAATATCCTTCGACTAAACAACAGCACTCTTGTGTGGTTTGATTTTAGAATTGAAAATGCCGTTATGTTCTCCGTTTCCACGCGTTATTTGAATTCAGAGTAACGTTGTTTCCCTAAACGGTTTCGTTATTAACAATTTGGACGTTTATTGACTCTAAAGAGGAGTGTAAGCTGCTTCTAGTACGAAGAATCCAGGTGGTAAGAGTGGGCGCTGAAGTAGGCCTACCGTGGGCGTCACTTCCGGTAAGGACTGGCTTTCTTCTTGAGCGAGTGAAATAGAGAGAGTCCTTTGGTGTACAGCAAACATTGCTCACGTAAGGCAGGCATCCATGTCAATACACGCCGCGTAGTTATGTAGTAGGTACTCGCAGGAAATATGCTAACGACCAGCCATTTGCATGGTCTATCATATTTATACAAACCGTGTCAGTGAATTGTGCCTGGCGAGAGCGCTCTGTTCTGTTTGCACTTTACACAATAATACGCCAACAGTGTAGAGATGGAAAGTTTCCAAACTGCGCGTAATCTCATAACGTCGGCGAAAATCTTATTTTAGTGTACCTACATACTTTTATTAGACAGATCCCTGGCCCTTTAAGTTGGATTATATAGGTTATTAAGCGAATTTCACTCCTTGGTTTACATTACGGTACATCCCAGTCATTTATTTGTTTGCTTTCGTGATTTTACGTCCGACACTTGCGTTGTGAAATAAAAAAAAAGTGAATCAAATTTAATTTATAAGGAAGTGGGCTTAGAGATTCGATAACCAAATTTAAGGTACTGATCCTCCAGTCTTTGATTACTGACCACGGGGCTCCATCTTTTTGTTCCGTAATCCATTTAATAGTCCGCTACTTAGCAGCCTGCCATTACAGAATAGTAGAGACTCCAGTTTATTAAACGTTGACTTGGTACATTATGCTCACCAGTTAGTAAGTACGTTCGTATTTAATATCTATATTCTTGACACTTTTTTACTTCTCACATAGGCAGTTCCGACTATTAAAATGAAATTCTACAATGCAATCTGCAATTCTTTTCATTTTATTTATTTATTTATTTATTTATAGTTCCTCTAACCACGCCTTCAGTAACAAACTGTAAGCTATTGCATTGAATGCACTCCACAGACCTATCGGAATTTCTAAAATTATTAATGTCTCGATGATACACTGCAGCCTACTTTGCATTTACCAAGTCGTGGTTTATTCAACGACGGGGTGAATAGTTCAGATTATGCAGCGTCGAAGTGTAGAGTGAGAAATGAGAATTTTATCGAATTGAATGTGGAAAGAAGCGGTCGTGGCCTAATTTAATTAGTTTCACTTTATGGAGAGGCTGAGGAAAACCACGAACATTGTTAGGAACTTGGGTCTCCGGGGGAGATTGTCCCTACTTTGGTGTGTTAAAAAAGAAATCTTCGTTATGCAAGTAATTTCCCGCGCAGAAATTTGTATTTTGAAGAACCGGCCGTCGTTTTGCCAGGGCTCTTGGTAAGTGCGCTGGCTGCCACAGCGAGTGGGCGCGCAGACACTCCCGTGACTATTGAGACGAAGGCCATCATGCCCCATAGGCAATTGTTGCGCGATTTGTACAGATTCTGATCCTTTTTGTTTTGTGTTAGATACCTGTGCCCTGCGGCCACGACAGTCTCGTAAGAGCAACAGAGTTAAGCAACTATGGGTGTGACTGCTTGGATACACAATTGACCAACAGTGTGGACAGTCCAGTACGCGATCCATTTCTGAGTCGTGCGTTAGAAATATTGTAACGGGTTCAGTATGTTCAAGGTGACTTCGTCGATACTGAACGTAATATAAGATCTGTGGAAGGATGAAAATTTTTCGTATGGTAAAACCAGAACAGACCTGTTCGTTTATCAGATATTTCCGTGTTTTAATTGGTGAATATAAAACTTGCGAAACACGGACAATTTTTTGTGTGATTAGGAGACACCGGGAGGTCCATAAAATATCTGATCTTGGTGTTGTATAGTGAGTGGTCCCCAAGGGACCATTCATTATAGCTGGAATGGGTTTCACATTGTTAAAAACATATCTCAGACGTCCCTGATGGTTACCAAAACTTGGACGGGTTCTTAGCCTTCATAGACCTGGGCCACATATACCCTTTCTTACAGATTTGTAGTCCGTAATGAGGTTAATTTACTGAAACGCCGTGGTAATTTATTAAAAATGCTTCTCACTTCTTATTAGAAATGGGTTAACATAAGAATCAATATTTTTCTCGAGGGAATCATTCATTAATGAGATATTTTGTATTGTTTCTGCTTGAGTAATCTTTCTGTATCATGTTATAAAAATATTTTTATTTTATCGTTTTTATTTTGATATTTTTGGCCGTTTTGAATAGTAGATTGGGCTTGTAATAACAATCTGTCAGTGTAATGACAACCAATCGCCTGAAGACGGAATTAGATCCAACTTTTAACTAAAGTTTTAACCAAGACAGTGGAAGAATGTATTGAACACTACGAAGTAACATAATTTATTAGCATTATTTGATTGTTAACATTGGAGCAACACGTGTAATGGGTGCAGCATGCAGTTAACAGCTATGACATTTTTTTTTTACGGAACTCAAGTATTGTGAGGATAAGATTGTCTCTCTGCCTTGACGCCATTATCATCTTAACTTGGAGCACCATGTTTACATAAGTGAGTCTTTGGAGACCGAGTCATTACACCTGACAAGGAGGAAATGTCAGTACTAAAATTTAAATTCGATTGCTTGTCTTTTTGTCTTTTTCTCTCCTCCTCCCCCCCCCCAGTTCACTCGATTCTACTCCGCCAGTCCGTGAATCAGTCAGTATTTTTCATCCTCAACTTCCCTATAAATAAGTTTCTTGTTCGTAACTTCTGTTTAAAACGAAAGTCAGCGTTGTGTCATATCTTCTATCATGTTTTTCTTTGTACATAGATTAAATTATTGGCGACCATAAATGTGGATTCCTACGTAATAAATAGACCAACCAATGTATTTGTATATCTGATTTGGGGTATTCACAGCGGTGAGTATGAAGATTTCTGTCTTCTGGGTTGTTGCGCCGTGTAGTCTGGTCGATGTTTACCAACGTTTCTGAGGTCATACTGCCTCCAGCATCCCGCTACATCCTTGTGTACTGTTAGCATTGAAACTCAGAAATATTATTGAAAGACTTGGTGATGACAGATTTATTCTTACAGGTTATTGACATAGATCCATTCTGGACTCCTCACACAGAAGAAGAGTATCTACACTACGGAGAGAAGGCAGACTCTGGAAACAGAGCTCGTCGTTACATGGATGCTGTGCGCCGTCGTAAAGGACTTGCAGTACAGGAGAAATTGGTTGAATTTGCAGAGAAACAGAGGACACTTTCAAAAAACAAATAAATTTCTTATTACGTTAGGTTGACAGGTCTACACAACAATTCTTGATTATAGTTCCAGTGTTTAAGAGTCCGCTGATTGTTTTGACTGTAATTGGAAGATGGCCAATTAAGGTCGAAACATATAGTGGATTCTTAATAAACATTGAAACTAGAATTAACACTTGTTGTGTAGACGGACTGTCAGCCTAATGTTCAATACACAACAGGATGTATCCTGTAAAACTCAAATTACTTGTTAATTGTATATAGGATTCATATTAAAGCCTGTGTGTAACCTACACCATGTGATTTCCTTGGTATTCTCCACGTATTGGAGACTTGCATATTTGCAGCTGATGATCCATAATTTTCTAACCTGAAGACAGTGACACAAACGTACAGGATTCCCTATTCGAGAAATCATATAGGACGTAAGTTTAAAGTTTCAAAAATGCAATGTTTGGAACTACTAAGTAACATTAAAAATTTAAAACGGAATAAATTTATTACATTTATTTTTAGTTGAATTACGTATGAAAATTAGGGGAAAAATTAATTTCTCTCTTAGAATGATTAAATCCTATGGCTTTTTGCAATTATGTGGTTAACTGACCGTGATTCAGGGTCCAACATGAGCAGTTGATGGTTATGCAGACTGTCAATAAATTTAATGTCTTTCCGTACCCAGTGGTTCACAGAAGCATGCCATTGAACACTGGCTTAGGACCCTAATTGTATTAGGTGAAGAGTCTTCGTTCTTATTTCCTCCATTCCACTACTACTTTCTCTTTCTTAGGTCAAAATATACAACTCAGCTATTTGTTCCCAAAATACTGTTAATCAGAGGGGTGCATCAATATTACTGCTTTCATAATTCCCGAGTAGACATTCTCGCGAAGTTCCTACTGACGACATAATTCAATTCATTGACAGATGGCACCACGCGCTAAGACAAACGTAGCAGCCGATGATCTTCCTGCCACCTCGTGTTATTCAGCTTCCAATACGTCGGTGTTCCTGAGTCTAGGAAATGGGAGGCATGTGTCAGAGGTAATCTCCAATGGCATAACAAACTATTAAACCCTAAAAAAGACTAAAAGATTTCAAACAACCCAACTAAACCATCTCCAAAATAACCACACCAGATTTAATGATAATTCGACGCCGTTCTCGGATTATCCCGTGGCTGAAACTATAGTTTGTAAAGCGACCGATAGATGGCTATCATATGAAAAGGCACAGAAAGTGTTATTTATTATATGCGAAAGCCTAGAACGCACTACAAACATTTACAAATTCTCTTCCCAACTTCCTGTTTTTGAAGACCCGCCACCAATGTTTTTAGTAAATCACACGAAACTTCGGGTAACATATTTTTGTGTTCTGTAAAACGGGAAACGGTAGCAGCCTGATTTTAATTTCTTTCTGGTATTACAATTGATATACAGACAACTCTCGGTTTACGAACGCTCAATTAACGAACATTCACTATAACGAACGTCGCACTTCATTCAAAATTTCTTAAATTCTCCAATAGACAGAGTTCCTTATAAAACGAAATGCCAAACGGATAGTGAACAAAAATTGTAAGATTTAAATAAATAAACTTTTAAGAAATGTATTTATTACAATAATTATCAAAAAATTATTACATGACAATTATACTGAACTGTTCTTGGATATTAAAACTAATCTAGCCAGAAAAAAACGTTGGTTTACATGCCACGCCGCTTAGAATGTTTTCTTGTGGGAAAGAAATCGGTGATTCTTCGTATTACAACATAATAGGATCATCACTTGCTTTGTCTAGGATATCTTAGACGGTCAATTGTAGTTCTGCATTTGGTGGCTTAAAATTATATTTTTAAAAATTTAAGCGATCATTGGTCTAAATCGTAATAGTAGTGCTGGTACTGATAAACCATACTTTATAATAAAACGTATTGTATAGACCATTCGATGTTTAGTACATGGTTTTAATGCTTTAAAATGGCTGCTGACGTATACGATACATATCGTAAAGGCTCAGGGATGCAAGATACACATAACGAACAACGTCTTGGACCGAAACTCGTTCGTAACCCTGCAGTTGCCTGCATTGGCAATGGCATGAACTAATATAAAGATAAGTGAACTGCCACGCCATATATTTGTGTTGGTGTTCCACGTGGATACAAGAATTTCTGAAAACATGGTTGGTCACACTGACGTACAACTTATTGGTAATCTGTGGTGGACGTATGTTGAAATTAATCCATGGTTGGTAATGTGTTTTTTTATCTGTGGTGTTGATTTCGTGGATAATGTGAAAATTTTAAAGATTAAATACAAATATTTTCTATCGTAGCTTGAAATAATTATTTTGGGTTTACTTTCCTCACAGAATGGACAAATTAACTTTGAATAATCAGGTAATTGTATAAACAAATGGTTTTTATCTGGAATTTTAGGTTAGACGGTTGATATTTTATTTATTTTTTATTTCTAGAGAGATACACATTCCAGAAAAATAAGGAAGGAGATGTACATGTTAATTACACATTTCTTTGTTTTAAATATCTTCTAATAACTTGTTAGTATATACCATGTTGACAGGACACAGAAAGTGAATAACACTGCTAAGTCTTCCATTAGTCTCATTCTCTAGTCCATTCAACCCATTTCACATACTCTAAACCTGTTACTCTGGAATGCATTTTAATATTATCTTTGATCGTTTTGGTTAGCATTTTTTAGTAAAGTACTGTCATATTTAACTTTAGCATGATTTCAGTCAAGTATCATCCATGTTTCCAGATTGTTTCAATGCGGCAAGAAGCCAGGAAAGCAAAACTTCATACAATTAGCAAATTGGTTCGTGAAGTGAGAAAATTACGAAGCAAAAATGGTTCTGAAGATCAGAAGAAAAAGAATAACAGAAAAGCTGATAGGTTTATGGAAGAAGTACTTATTATAAAGGTTGGTATTTGTATACATTGTTCCTGCTGGAAGAGTTTCATAAAAATTATTTGCTTCATCCTGCTTCTTAGTCACAAATAAGAATAGAATAGAATATATATAGGCCCAAGCTAAGGATGCAAATGCAGTGTTAACTTCAGTGACCTGAGTGCACAGTTCAGTTTCAGATTTTGTGAAGAAAGAAGCAAAGTGCCATTCTTTTTAAGCACTGTATTAAATGATTTCATGTTTTAATTGACACATATGCTGTATTATTTTGAGGCTTTTGAAAATATTAGAACTTTTAGATTCTAGCAGTAAAGTTTTCTGTTTCTGGCAAAGAAAAGTAATTGTCTTATTTTCATTTTCAGAAGCTGAAGGATGATGAAATATCAAAATTTGCTCTCTGCAATTCAAAGATGTCAAGTGAAATAATTTTTGATGTAAGTAATTTCATAAATAGACAAAACATTTTAGATGTTAGTGGAAATGTGTATATGAGTAACTAGATTTAGATGTTAGTGGAAATGTGTATATGAATTGCTAATATATGAGTAACTAGAGTGTAAAGTTAATGGCTTTCATGTAGTTCCATGGTTAACTCTTTGATGGTTACAATTGTACCAGTATCTTAGTGGCATGGGATATTAACATACCTGAATGTTTTCTAACTTTTCCTTGCCGATGACTAAGCTTCTGACATCAAGTAAT